TAGGCAGTTGACTATCGATTTGTTCAGTGATTGTTTTTTGTTGTGCAATAGCATTTCTTCTTTCTTCTTTCTTCTTCTTCTTCTTCTTCTTCTTCTTCTTCTTCTTCTTCTTCTTCTTCTTCTTCTTCTTCTTCTTCTTCTTCTTCTCCTTCTTTCTACTTTCTTCCTTCTTCTTCCCCCTCTTCTTCTTCTTCTTGTTTAATCTTCCTTTGCAGCAAGTGTGTGCTCCCAAAACTGTTATAGGCCTTTAACAAGTGTGTGCTCCCAAAACTGTTATAGGCCTATAACAAGTGTGTGCTCCCAAAATTGTTGTAGGCCTAAAAACACCTTTGCACAGACACACACTCAAAGGTCTCTCACGAAATCTGTCCGCACCTGCAACTCAAAGTTGACACACACGGACGCACGCGGACACACACGGACGCACGCAGACACACACAGACGCACACAAATACATGCGTCTACACACACTCGGTAGAGGCCTCTGAGCACCTCTGTCCGTACTAAGCACTCTCGCGCATTTCTCTTTGTGTGCAGTCCGTTCGTGACGATGAAGTCAACCCAAGGCGCGAGGGGAATGACTAAGGCGAGAAGCTCCGGGCCAGCCCGGACAGTATCTTCTTGGGGACAGCCAGCATGCTCAGGAGGGGTTGTGCAACAAAGGCAACCACCACAGTCTGAAGTCTTTCCAGTCGTAGTGGGAGAGGATGATACTCCCCAATGCGGAGAAGGAGGCGAAGAGGAACTTTTCGAAGACGAAGGGGAGTACAACGAAGAAGGTGAAGGAGAGGAAGAGACAGGAGATGAAGAGAAAGAAGAAGAGGAAGACGGAGAGGCAGGAGAAGGAGCAAAAGATGAAGAAGAAGCCGACGAAGAAGAAGAGGATGAGGAAGGAGGAGAAGAAGACCCAATGGAGGAGGCCTGTTCGCGATGACTTCAAGTTGTCCTTCTGGGCCGTGTACATCACAACTGGTCTTGCCTATCTTCACGTGAAGACCAGCGGCAGCTATATATATTCAGAACTTGATGAAATCTTATTTGCGACTCACGTCACAAAGAAGTATCTTATGGCCGAGTTGTGGGTCGTCATAAAAAAAAAGGTTGTGAAATGTCTTCTGAAGGGAGACAAGCTAATGCCCATGAAGACGCCAATCTAGAACAGAAAACTATTGGCATTAAACAAGATTGGCTGCCAGGTAACTGCATTCATCTTTGCCAACATTTCCATTGCATGTCCCACCAATCTTCACGTTAATGACCTAGAAGTTTCTCGTCGCAGTTACACGTCCCTCTTGTGGGTACCATTGTTCTCAGCGTGTGACGTAGCTCTGTTTGTGTGTTCCATTCTTCCACTGTGGATTTACCGCTACTCTCAGTGCGCCAGTGGAAGTTATAGGCCTTTAACTTCGAAAGTGTTTCCGACGCCACCGGATGTTATAGGCCTATAACTCCCGGAACGTCACAGGCCGTCGCTGACCGTTAACTACCGCTGCGGATCTGCCGTTGCTCTGTTTGTGTGTTTCATTCTTCACGTTAATGACCGACAAGTTTCTCTTCGGAGTTGTGGGTCTCTCTTCTGAACTTGTTATGGGTACCCTTGCTCTCAGTGTGTGATGTACCAATCTTCACGTTAATGACCTAGAAGTTTCTCGTCGCAGTTGCGAGTCTCTCTTTTGAACTTGTTGTGGGTACCATTGCTCTCAACGTGTGAAGTAGCTTTGTTTGTATGTTTCATTCTTCTGCTGTGGATTTACCGCTACTGTCAACACGTTAGTAGAAGTTATAGGCCTTTAACTTCGAAAGCGTTTTCGACGCCACCGGATGTTATAGGCCTATAACTCCCGGAACGTCACAAGCCATCGTTGGCCGTTAACTACCGCTGCGGATCTGCCGCTACTCTGTTTGTGTGTTCTATTTTCACGTTAATGACCTACAAGTTTCTCTTCGCAGTTGTGGGTCTCTCGTCTGAACTTGTTATGGGTATCATTGCTCTCAGCGTGTGACGTAGCTATGTTTGTGTGTTTCATTCTTCCGCTGTGGATTTTTTCAGCGCGTCACTGGAAGTTATAGGCCTTTAACTTCGAAAGTGTTTTCGACGCCACCGGATGGCCTGTAACTCCCTGAACGTCACAAGCCGTTGTTGGCCTTTAACTACCGTTGCGGATCTGCCGCTGCTCTGTTTGTGTGTTCCATTTTTTCGCTGCGGACATATTGCTACTCTCAGCGCGTCACCGGATGTTATAGGCTTATAACTTCGAAAGCGTTTTCGACGCCACCGGATGTTATAGGCCTATAACTCCCGAAACGTCACAGGTCGTCGCCGTTAACTACCATTCCGGATCTGCCGCCGCTCTGTTTCTGTGTTCCATTTTTCTGCTGCGGACATGTTGCTACTCTTAGTGCGTCACCGGATGTTATAGGCCTATAACTTCAAAAACATTTTCGACGCCACCGGATGTTATAGGCCTATAACTCCCGAAACGTCACAGGTCGTTGCTGGCCGTTAACTACCGCTGCGGATCTACCGCTGCTTTGTTTGTGTGTTCC